ATTTAAAAAAGACGCTCGCCTTCACTGACGCGTGGGCCCGTGGTCCATGGTCTTCATTAATTAAGACGCGGGAGGCAGCTGGCCGACCGCCATGTGGGGACAGGACAAACACCGAGCGGACGCGTGGCGCGTTCGCGCCGACGCATCTCAGGCGTAAATTTGGGCCCGAAATGGGTCCACGCGGACGCGTTTTGGGAATGAGCCGACACATTGGGCAAGCATTTTTCCGCGGCAACCTAAATGGATGGCGCCGGATGAAATGGATCGCCGCGTTGGAGTTGCTCTAAGTAACTTAATCAAGCGACAAAGGAAAGAAAAAGAAAAAAAAGAAAATACCAACATGAATCTTCGTGTAAAATCAATGACATAGTATTTACATGTGCAATACTTATGTCATATCTAGATGTGATTTAGCGAAACTGTTATTTATTTTTATTACTTGTAGGAGTACCATGGCTTGTTGGGGACGTACTATAAGGCAGGTGCTGCGTCTCCACTTGAGACGAGGAGTTGAGCACCAACACACACTCGAGAGTCGAGAAGAGGATGGCATGGTTCGCCTCACTGGCCCTTCTGGGCGCCCTCCACGTAGCCGCCTTGGTGTTCCCCCTCCTCTCCCACCTCGCCCTCTGCCTGCACCGGCACAAGGACCTCCGACGCCGCTACGGCGCGTGGGCCGTCGTCACCGGGCCAACATCCGGCATGGGGCGGTCCACGGCCCTGGAGCTCGCGCGTAGGGGGCTGAATCTGGTCCTCGTCGGCCGCAACCCGGCCAAGCTCCGGGAAGTCTCCGCGGCGATATCCAAGGCCGCTCCGGCCGTCCAGAGTCCAGACCAAGACCGTCGTGTTCGACCTGTCGCTCGTCTCCACCGCTCAGGGTGAGAAATTATCACGCAGAACACTGCACACTACGCACACAAGCACGCATGCATCCATCCATTTAAGCTCCTCAAATGGATATCCGGCAGGGGACGAGGCGATGCGGCAGCTGCGGCGGACCGTGGAGGGGCTGGACGTCGGCGTGCTGGTGAACAACGCCGGGGTGCTCGAGGCCCCCACGGCGTTCCTGCACGAGGCCGGCGTGGAGGCGTGGGTGGACATGATACGGGTGAACTTGCTGGCGCTGACCGAGGTGACGGCGGCGGTGATTCCGGGGATGGTGGAGCGCGGGAGGGGAGCTGTGGTGAACTTCGGCTCAATGCATCGGAGGTCCTCCCCTCCTTTTTTTTTTTTTGGAACGAAGACGCTAGAAGCGTCCGGCTTTAAATTAATAAAGCCCGAAAGGCATCCAGGTTTAACGGTTACACAGTAACAGGTTCAGCAACACACCCCTCAGGGCAGCAAAAGCAAGGTTCATCGCTACATAATCACCATGACGGATCAGCAAGAGCAATGACCTAAACTACTAAACACCGCAGGAGGTTCCAAAAGCATCATCAACTCGTCATGTTTTGTCTTGCCCTCGTCTGAATTGACTTGATATGCTCCATGGCTTCTGACATGCGCTCAGCATCGCGCTCCTTCCCCAGCGGTGTCCACATCTGCAAAAATAGGTGGCATTTGAAGATCATGTCTGCAGGGTGGTTAGGAAATTTCTTTTCAATCGTAATTTTGTTTCGCGTCGTCCAAAGTGCCCATAGTAACGCCCCTACGCAACGCCAGGCGATTCTGCTAGAGGTCCCCTTAGTGGATTTTAGAATCGATACCAATTGTGTCCCCGAAACGGGGTTCCAGTCTATGTGGAAGGCCTCCCGAACTGCACTCCACATAAACCTGGCCAGGTGGCACCGGAAGAAAACATGATTCGCGTCTTCCCCTTGCCCACAGATCACGCATGTGCCGTCCGTCGGACCGTTCCGTTTGGCTATGTTGTCCGAAGTAGGCAGCCTATTCCTGAGCATTTGCCACATAAAGATCTTGATCTTCAGGGGCAGGCCTGCCTTCCACAGACCCTTTGCTATGTCAAGCACTGGCCCTCCAGTTAGCTTGTTATATAAGGACTTCACTGTAAATTTCCCGGATGCTGTCAAACTCCACTTGACAGTGTCAGCCCCCGCCCGAAGGAGATGGCCGCCTAATTGCTGGGACAGCCCGTCCCAAGAGATGCGCTCTTCGTTTGTTAGGGCCCTCATAAAGTGGATCGCCGGCGGGTCTACTTGTAACACCTCCCCAACTAGGATGTTAGTATCTGTGGTGATCCTGAATAAGGAGGGATGGCTTTGCCAAAGGGGGGAATCGCCCAGCCAGTGATCAAGCCAAAACCTAGTGGATAGTCCGTTGTTGGTCTGGAAATTGGCCCCTAAATCGAAAGCAGGCCGCACCGCTTGAATCCCTCTCCAAAACACGGATCCGTTGGCCGAGGCTGTGAATGGGTTCCCATGCGGGAAGTACTTGGCTTTAAGCAGCTTTGCCCAGAGCCCCGACTCATCTTGGGTCAACCGCCACCACCATTTGGCTAGAAGGGCAACATTCATAAGTTTGGAGTTTAGGATTCCCAATCCCCCAAATTTCTTAGGCCTACAAACCGCCGCCCACTTGACGAGGTGGTACTTCCTTTTGATGCCAGTTCCTTCCCAGAAGAACCTGGATCTAGGCGTGTCTAGCTTGGCATGTACCCCATCGGCAAGCAAAAACATCCCCATAGTGAAGAGGGGAAGGGAAGAGAGGCTCGAGTTTGTGAGAATGAGCCTTGCAGCGGAGGACATGAAGCGCCCTCGCCACGGGCTTACCCTATTGGCCACTTTCCCGTACAGGGGCTCCCATTCTAGTATCGAAAGTTTGCGGTTGGAAATTGGAAGCCCTAGGTACTTAATTGGAAAGCTCCCTAGCTTGCAATTAAGGAGGTTTGCGGTACGTAAGCTTTGCTGGTCGTCCATCCCCATGGTTATGACCTCGCTCTTTGTAAAGTTGATTTTGAGTCCGGAGAGGAGCTCGAAGGCTAGTAGCAAAAGTTTAATCGAAGCGATACTGTGATCATCTGGCTTAAACAACATCAGGGTGTCGTCTGCGTATTGTAAGTGAGTCACTCCACCCGGGATGAGGTGTGAGACTAACCCCTTGATGTGACCGGCCTCCCTGGCCTTGGTCAACATGGCTGCCATTGCATCTGCCACAAAATTAAAGACAAGTGGGGATATGGGATCGCCCTGTCTAAGCCCTTTCCTGTTACGAAAATATTTCCCCATCTCGCCATTAACAATGACCGAGGTGTTGCCACTCGAGATCAGGCTCATGATCCGGTGAACAAACCCTGCCTCAAAACCCTTTTTGAGGAAGACCTCGCGAATAAACTCCCAATTTACGCGGTCATAAGCTTTTTCGAAATCTAACTTAATGATGACACCCTGCTCCTGTGTTCGTTTTAACTCGTGGACAATCTCCGTAAGAGCAATGGGCCCTTCCAGGATGTTCCTACCCTTCAGGAAAGCAGTTTGGCTCGAACTAATGACTTGTTGGGCGACCGTCGCTAGCCTAGAAGCATAAGCTTTGGCGCACAATTTAAAAGGAACATTGATGAGCGTAATCGGCCGAAACTGTGTAATAGCTTCTGCCCCTTTGACCTTGGGGATTAGGCAGATGGCCCCGTAATTCAGACGAGACAGGTCAACCGTACCTAGGGCGAAGCCGTTTATGATCGCTTGGAATAAGTCCCTAAGCAGCGGCCAGAAGCGCTTGAAAAACTCCACCGGCCAGCCATCAGGCCCTGGGGCCGTGTCGTTCTTCATACCCGCAAGCGCGCAATCAATCTCCTGGGCCGAAAAGGACACCATAAGGGCGTCGTTTTCCTGCTGCGAGACTCGTTCGTGCATGCCCCAAAAGTCTGCCCTAAGACTTAGGTTTTTCACCTCAGCTGTTCCCAACAGCTCAACGAAGAAGCTATAGATGTACTTCGCTATATCGTTCTGAGATATCAGCGTCCCACGTTCTGATTGGAGCCTAAGGATAGTGCTCTTCCGTTTGCGACCATTAGCGTAAGCGTGAAAGTATCCTGTGTTTGCATCGCCTTTCACTACCCACTTGACACCACCCCTACGGCGCCAGTATTCCTCCTCCGCCCTGAGAATCGCCAGGACCTGATGTTCAAGAGAGTATCTAAGCTCCCATTCGTCACCAGAGAAGGTTCTAATATCGGCATGCGAGTCGAGGAGGGCTATATCTGCCGTAATGCGCTCCCTCTCCCTTTTGGACTCGCTACCATGGTTAGCTCCCCAGCCCCTAAGGAAAGCACGCAAAGCCGCAGCCGCTGAGGACCAGAACTCAACTGGTCCTCGTTGACGCCCCAACTGGTTGCCGATCTGGGACCAGCGATTTGTGACTAGCTGGCTGAATCCCTCATGTTCGAACCAAGCTGTCTCAAAGAAGAATCTATGGCTACGGCGCACGTTGTCCTCCCCTGAGGACAAAATCAGCGGGACGTGATCGGATCCTATGTGCGTTTCCGCCACTAAAGTACAGAGAGGAAACAGCGCCTCCCAGTCACTAGTGCAAAAGACACGGTCCAGGACACATCTGATTGGCTCACGTTGCTTGTTAGTCCAAGTGTATCTGGCCCCAGTACGCGCGATCTCCCGAAGGGCAGCGTACGCAATGGCATTATTGAACATGGACACCCTAGCCCAGTCAATATTGTTGTTGCTTTTGTCCGCCCCCGAGCGGATCAAGTTGAAATCACCTCCTACCACCACTGGTAGGTTGGACGATTGTTTGGCCCCCACCATAGCTGTGATTTCATCTAAGAAAATAGCGGACCTCGCGTGATCCGCCGGCCCATAAACACTCGCGATCACCCAAGAAGCTTGGGAGACCCGGTGACGGATAGTGGCAGCTATATAGAACGTGCCGCCCTCCCACAATATAACCTCACACACATCCTTGTTGCAACCCATCAGTTGACCCCCAGAGAGGCCGACAGACGGAATCCAGAACCAATCAAAACGCTGGAGCGGATCATACGCCAAAAGGTCTCTAAAGGAGAAATCGGCTTTAATAGTCTCCTGGAGCGCCACAAAATCAATGAGTTCTTTGGACATGTACTCGCGGAGCTGCGTGCGACGCCCCACGTGCCCGCATCCGCGGATATTCCAGAAGAAATAACGCATTAGATAATCCTGTTACGCAAGCGGACTCCACGGGAGGAGACCGCCTTGGCCACACGCTTCCTAGCCGGCTTTCGACTGGAAGAAGGCAAGACCGAGGCCGCCTCGGCCTCAGCTCCCTCCATGGGCATGTCGACAACATCAGCCCCTACTGATGCTGCGTCCGTGGCTTCGACCGCCTGAGCAGCCGCACACCTGGCAGCTGCTTCCGCGAGGGCAGCCTGGGCCTCTTCGCGCGCACGCAATAAAGAAATCAAATCCAGAGACGAGGAGTCTAGCGCTACGCCACTATCATGCAGAATCTCGGCGAGATGCTCATCAGAGAAAGCATTCAAAATCTTAAAGGAGGGGAGGAGGTTACCTGTCGTGTCCATGTTCTTGTCAGCAGCACGAAGCTTTGCACTTTCCAGAGAGGTCATGTCTCCGAGCTTGGCCTTGGCGCGAGCGCTAGGAGCCCGAGATGACACCGGAGTTGCCCTGGTATGCTTGGCCTTGACTGCCGGCCCTGACGCCACCAGAGCCGCGCCCAAATCGCCTCCTAGCGCCGAAACCGACCCCGCAACCTCCGAGACCACCGTCTTGCTCCCCGCCTTCCTCCCCGCAGTCTTCTTGGCCTGTCGGCCAGAGCCACTCGACAGGCGCCTGTCAGAGGCCGGAGTTGGGTCCGAGTCCATGAGGACGCATTCCAGCCCCGAGCCCTCCTCCCCCCCTCGGGGTGGGGAGCCCGGCATGGCCCCGTACCCCCTTGCCACCAGAGGGAGAGGCGCACATGGAGCTGTCAGGCTGGAGCCCAGGACCTCGAAAGACGGATCCAGAGAGCGGGCGAGAGGGGGAAGGCTGACAGCCGTGTCTTGAGTCGCGATCACACCCAGTTTTTCCCATGTCTCGGTGTCGATAGAAGTGTCTTGGATGCTGTCTTCGGGGTCGTCCGCCGTCTCGCCCATCACCACATCTTGGCCCCCCACCTTTGCGCCGGAACCGGCTGCCTCCTTCTGAGATGCCCCCGTCCCAGGTATGGGCGCCCCAATGGCAGCTGCCTTGGGGGCTTTGCCCGTGGAAGGCCCTTGCTTGCTAGGGTCGCCCTTTCCCTGCTGGCTGTCTGGCGGGGGAGCGGATGGGCCCGCCCCCGAGGCTCCACCGCCCTCACCCAACCTTCTGGGCATCCGTTCTAGCTCCACCTTGATCTGATATCCTTCGTGATTAAACTAGACCTCCACCGTGCCATTCAGCTTTGCCGGCGACTTGCAAGCCAATTTCATCCTCACCGGGCCCAACTTAATGAGGGAAAGTTCATCAACCAGAATAGGTCGGCCCAGCATCTTAAAGGCCTCCTTGATGCGCTCAATCTTGCGATGCTTCTCAGGAATCCCATGGAGCCGCACCCAAGCTTCTGGCATCACCATTGGTGGAAGCACCTCATGGACCACATCCCGCACCCTAGCAGTGATGTCGTTAATGGAGAGGAAGCGTTTGCCACTGGTCCGGGCCATGTGAAGAAGGTCCGCGGAGGGAAACACCACCATGAAATCGTCTTCGCCTACTTGCGTGACTTGCCAGTCCCAGTCCCCCGTGACCATGTGTTTGAGCTCCTGATTGAGAACCCGCAGGTTGAGGCTGCCTGGCTCCGCGGAAAGGATTGCCGCGTTTCCAACCGAGGGGAGCCGAGGGCCCTCCAGCTCTTCCTCCTCTTCAAACTGCAAGCAGAAAAAGCCCTCCCCTGAAATTGCACTGCCCATAATCTGTAGGCTAGGCTGCCGACCCCTCATCGGGCAATGAGCGGAAGCATGTCCCTCCTCCTTGCAGAGCACACACAAAGGCTGGAATTTGTATTTGGACTGGAAATGACCAAGCCTCCCACACTTGAAACATTCCACTTCCAAAACCTCCGACCCGTCCTCCACCGGAATGGGCTCGCCCACGGTGCCCTTCGCGCCCGGGGGGAGGGACACAGCCAAGGGATCGGACGACGCCCGGGCCTTCTTGGCCAGCGGATCTCCGTGGCCACCACCATATCTGGGGAGATCCGCGGGCTTGCGTTCCAGCTCCCGACGCCGAGCTATCTCCTTCTTCTTCTTCCTTCTTTCCTGCTGCTGGATCCACCATGGGGGAGGGGGACCCCACTCCCCCTCGCACCCCTCCGGCTCATAGC